ATTTCTTTCTTTTCTTTTATTTAATATCGCTTATATTAAGCTTGCATTTTATTGTATACTACGCCATAATTTTTTCCTCCTGAAAACTTTTCCTTTTCAGACGTTGTAATGACCAACAACGGCTGCCATTACAAGCAAGTGGACAGGAGTTGTTCTTTCCCGTCTTTACCACAATCCTCTCGTGACGTGATCCCAGCCTGCTCTGTACACTACTAAACAACTGTTACATTTTCTAGTGCTATTCAGCTTTTTTAAATGATGTCAATTGAACAATCTGCATTTTGATTGAAAAACGATTATTTGTATTGACCCGGTCTTCCTAACCCTTGATGTTTGATTTGAAGTTATTTAAACTCAAAGCATTGCTTTTTGTCCAATTCTGATCAAGTTTTTATGTTGTTTCGCTTTCCTTTTCGTTTTACCAGCTCTCTCCGGCCATCTCTCTCTTGTCAAGCATTCAACTAAACACAATAGGACCATTTATACGCGGAAAAATAAGACGCGTCTTACATAAGACGCGTCTTAAATAAGACGCGAACTTTCCGTATAAACGGCACATTTCGTCTAAAATAAGACGCGGCTTAGCTAAGACGTGTCTTATTAGATAAAACATGCTCGTATAAATGGTACAGTTCGCGTCTTATGTAAGACGCGTCTTATTTTTCCTCGTATAAATGGCCCTAATAAGTGTAGTGAATTTCCATCCTAACACGGAACAAACAAACAATTAATTATTTAATGTCACTGATGTATTGTTCACTTGCTTCTAATATTCTTTTGGTTTTATTTAAACAATCTCTTTTTTTTCAGACTGGAGACGTTTGAACATCCGAAAAGTTCAGTGTAGATAGTTAGACTTCAGTTCACCTCGTCGAAAAATCCATAGGAAATGTTACGGGTTTTGAGTCTTTAGGTACTTTCTGGAGTGGGATTTCGGAAGATTCCGAAACCCGACAAAGGAAAGGTGAGACAAATGATTTCACTGAACTGGAAAACCACCAGATTATGACTTCCTCCCCAAAACAACACTGACATGATCCACGTGATTCCTATTTTTACACTCAGGTATCTTGAGAATACATCAGGAATGGTAAAAGGAAATTAGGAAACTAGGAAACATTGTTAAAGGCTCGAACTTTCCTCAGGTTAGGTGTTATTCGGTGCATTAAGTCAACTTCGGAAGGCAAATTTTGCAGTTTATTCACATTAGCAATAAACGCTTTTGTTTTCGAATAAATGCTCCCTAGTTTAGTCAGTACCCAACTGCAAAGCAAATAATAAGTTTCTTCTATTATTTTAATATTAGCCACGTTTTCCCCTCAAATTTGTAGCATAATGTCAAGTGCATGTTATTGAATTATTATATAAGTACTTGGTACTATTGATACACTAATAGACAACTGCAGGCCCCCTAATAAAGGGAACTGTACCTCATGACTACCAAACCGTTGGAATTTACTGTTATGATCAAATATTATCAACAACCACATACAACTCATGTTTGTGTTTTCGGCTTGCCTGGAATGTCAGACGTCTTCCCGCAAATCGTTTTAGACTGAAATTTGGCCTGTTCAAGCTCCTAAGCTGTGCCTTCCTGCGCCGTTTTAGCTCTTACATTAGGAAGTTTAAGAAGTTTTTTGTTTTGATGAGAACGTCAAAAACGCAGCAGGTTTAGGCCGCGCCTACACCAATCCCGAAGTTTTTAAAACTGCGTATTTGTTACACGGATTCGTGTGGACGGGGCCTTAAACCACTCAGGAGAGCTGTTTCCAAAAGATGCGGTTTTGGTGAGCGTATTTACTGGTTTCGTGTGGAGGGACGGCCCATTCGCGTTTAAAAATACGCAGTTTAGTCAAAATTATCCGGATTCCAGTTGGCTTGAACTTAGATTAGGAAACAACGACTTCGCACATGCCGCACATTTTCTTGTACCATTCTTTGCCGTCACTGCAAAACTGCGGTGTGATTTCACGTTTAATAGGAAAATTCATTACCTGACAAGGGAATTCCACGTTAAATTGCACGCGAAAACCAATCGCGATTCGTGCGATATGGGTTTTCAAGTGCAATTTAACGTGGAATTCACGAGTCAGGTAATGGATTTCCTTGAATCGCATAACTGAATAAAAATTAAAAAAAAAAGAAAAAGAAAGAAAACGGCAATAATATTGTTTGTTTTTATCCTGAGCGCGCGCTCCAGGAAGCCATTTCAAAGTCAACTGTCAGAACTATCATTGCGTTAGCGAATAGGAAGCAAGGTCAGTCGTACACGTTTGACCCTTCGACAACTTTTTTTGTACCTTGTGCTTGTTTTTACATTTGTTTTCAAACTTTTTTACATGTAAACAAGCTTCACACTAATCGTAAGAATAAATAGAGGTATTTCACTGAATTTACAAGCCGTTTATCTATAACATCTTTTTTCAAACTGGTCATTTGCTCGAGAAGGAAAATAATTTACACCTTTTACCTCTTCGGCGGCAAAACTGAAAAAAATGAAGTTTCCAAGCGAAAGCACTGAAAGTTTAACGTCGCGATTGATATATAGTAAGTACCTTGAAATGTTTTAGAAATGCTGTTCAAGTTCAGCTCTGTTTTGTACTTTTCTAAATATCACGATTCAGGACGATTGCAAGCGGCGTACTCTTTTTCGTGTTTTCACTGAGGGGCTATGTCGTCTTTGAAGGTATTTATTTCTTCTCCTGTATACGTGACAATCGACCCCGGCACTTCCTCCGTTGTCGCTTCTCAGTTTGTTAAGTTGAACTTTGGCTTGCCATTTTCTGGGCCGTGTTCACAAGATTTTCTTGTTTTGTCGTTGTCGCCAACGAAAGAGGTTTTTTATGCCTCTTCGAGAATTTGTAGTTCAGTTCAAAACAAGGAAGAACCTCCGGCTCACTATAAAAACTCTTTTGTATGTTTTGAACTCTTCAAAAGGTGACAATGGTTTTGAGAACATTTTAAAATGACATTGTAGAAAACCTTTTTTGCAGTTGTTGTGTTAGAATTTGATGATAGTTGTTACGTAGATGCGAAACAATATTGCTTAGCCTCGTTTTCAACTCGCAATTCCACACTAAATACCTCGCTTCGTTAACCAATCAGAATGCGAGATTTACTCAGTTATGCGATTCTATCGAGAATGTAAACAAACGGGGACAAATTTCTCTTTCTCCTTTTGCACGTGGAACTTTTTCTTAGGAATTCAACTCCAGGAGATTGGGATAATCGTGCTTAAGTTTAAACGAAGGCGAGGCCACTTTTTTGTGACGTTTTCACCGCCGTCGCTGTTTGTTTTCTTAGGTCTGGTCGACCGGTAGCCGCGTATTTTTGAAAAAGGAGACTTTTTTCCTATTATATGCGTTCACAGGTAGCGTATTGTTCAAATCGTTTTCGCCCGTCCACAAGAAAACATTAAAACGATGGAAATACGATCACATGCCTTCGTGCCACGAAAACTCGTGTCATTAAACCAAATTTTTTTCTTGCTGTTGTCAGCTAATTATTTTGGAAAGAGGAAATTTTGTTTCGGCAGACGAAATTTCGCCTCGCCTAAACAAAATTTCCTCCGCCGAAACTAATTTCCTCTTTCCAAAAGTCTTTAGCTGACAACAGAAAACGGCTGTAATCATCACCTCATTGCTAAAGTACATGTAAGTTACTGCGAACATTCAAGTGATAAATAGATGGCCTAAAACACTTAGTAAAGATAAAATAGTTGGGCACATTTCATTGTCCCTTTAATATCTGTTTTACATGAATAATGTTTTCTCAGGCAGGCATATCCAAGCGGGCAAAGAGTAAGTAAAGCAACTTACGGCTTGTTCCTTTGAAAGTCATCTAAAGAAGCGCAGATGTTAATGTATCCAAAATCCAGAATTTTTTATTAACGTTTAATAAAACAGAATCTATAGCATCATTACGCGGAAAATGACATGTAAAATGTGACCTTTACTGTCGTTGAGTAGTAAATCATGTGTCTTAACGCATGACTTAAAAAACGAACAGTTCAGATTAATGATGGTGTCGTGGCAAAGAAAACAGAATCGATATTAATAGCATTCCACCCACGTATATCTATCAGAACTGAACAAATGAAGCACGGATTGACCGGATATACAATTCAGATTAGTTTTAGAGTCCAAGAGTCACGTGTTTACTTTCAAAATAGGCAGTTTTTTTTTTTAGCGACGTCTTTGAGCGACGTACGTCAACCGAAAGTGGACTTTTGGCACTCTTGAGCCGAGATTTTAACACATTTTTGGACAAATCGTCTCTATAAGAGTTAAAAAAACTTAGCAATACAAATTTGGTGGCCTCGAGGCATATTAAAAGAGAAAATGGAATACTTCCGGTTGACGTTCGTCGCTCAAGACTCCCTACTGAAAGTTAGCGTCTCCTGTGGACATTCGTTAAGATACGGAGAAAAATTTCTTGCAATAAAGACTGAAATCGGTGTTGTTACTTTAATTTAACAATTGATAGGATAGCACTACTGAAACTACAGACAGGTTGTTCAAATATGGCGTCATTTTACTGTTACGACCAACATCCTTTTCGTTTTTCTTTTCATATTTATCTTCGTAGTCCCAGCGAGGTTTAAATAACAAGGGCATTAATTTACACAACAAAGTAACACCCTGAAGGATTCTGACTGAAGTAGTAAAATGGCTTCATTGAGCAAATCGCCTATTGATGTCGGCAGTAGTTAAAGCTTTCAAACTTGAGAGTAATTAGGCTTCTATTTTACTACATACTATGTCTTATTCTTTCCTCCTAAAACTTTTTCCTTCTCCATCAAGACATAGCCTGCAGTTATGTCTTGGGACTTCAATTCAATGCGCCTACTCATCCATCTAGCTAATTTTACAAAACGTGAACGTAACATAAAGTTATTTGTCGTCAACGGCACTGGTAAGCGCATCTTCAAAAATAAAAGTTGTTCCACAAAGTAGTGACAGATTCTTCGAGAAAAACCCAAAAAAATTTTAATTGAATTG